TATAAACTCTCCCACCTGATTGAAACATGTGAAGAACACGTGATCTATATTGAAGAATTATAAAACCAACGAAAACGGTAACAATATTTTAACAAACTAAATTATAAATATGAATTAAATCAAGCTTTAACTTATTTGTTAGATTTTATTAATAAATGCTTATAATTCTGTTGATCTTTTATAATGCTGACCAAAATTAAGCATAATTTAAGAAATTTTTTGATTTTCGACCAAAAATTAATGATAAATTTGTTGATCTTTTATAATTTCAGGCAAAATTATTCTTTGGTATAAAATTTTTTCAGAAAAAGAAAAATGCGAGAACTGCTAAAACTACGAGGAACAAGTACCTAAATCTTAGCTTGGAGTACTAATTAAAAACGTTGGTGAGACGATTTTATATACATATAACTTATGTCTCAGCCCTAATTCTAACCCTAATCCAGCCTTCGTTAATATTACAAAACCTGGCAGATTTTTTGCATGCTTAAATACATTAATTGAACTGTGTTGCACAAAAAAATGCCATTTTCGTGTCTCATTTATTTGAACCATGTTTTGTTTTATTGACATAAGAAAGTAAAACAAAAAAAGCGATAAATAAATTTTCTTTTTTCTCCGTCAACAATAAATAATTTCTGTTCTTATATAATTTTTCTTCCTTCCTCCTCCACTTTCTCCCCAAAAATTAACAATCCAGAAAGTCTGCCGCCATTAACAACTCCAATCCCATCTGTGGGTCAATATCAAAATTTGGAATATCGTTCGTGGAATCTGTGTATTTTACTTTGTAGTACAAGTACTGACATACTTTTTCTAGTATAACGGCTCTGAATTATTTTTTTATGGTTTATTAGTTCTTTTTTTCGAAATCAAACAATTACAAGTTTTTGGTTAGTGAGGATATTCTTCTTACTTTATGTCTCGAAAATTAATTTCATTTTTTTCGGATTCCTGAAATTGGCCTAAAAAAATTAAAGTAGAAAGTCGAAAAACTTCATATATCAAAACCAATAGCAATGGAAATGCCACTTGCCCCATACTACTTGTTATTTCCAATTAAGGGCGTAAGAACATGAAAAACTACTTGTTGACTTTTTTAAAGAGCAAAAGCTTACCGGGACTTGATAACATATTTTTTATAGTTCCACTGCACAATGCTGCCTGCCGGGCAATAATAAACTCGAAACCATCTGAGCTTATTAGTTTTACATACTCGGGTGGTTCCTCGAAAGCAATTGGTACCGGAATGGAGGATGAAGGAAGAGGTCTATAGCTTTTATATTCTTGCGACTGTTCGTTTGTCGGTGAGGTTGTGTTCAAGGATTTTATTTTGGAAGAAGAGGTTCTAGGTAGAGACATTTTCGATAAAATAAACAGTTGAAGTTCAATTTATGTATACCTAATTTCCTTTTATGGAAAAGTTCACACGATGCAATTGGTTGACCAATATTTATAGATTCTCACGTGTACGTGTCTTTAAAAAATTATTTTTTTCGTTCGTGTATTGAGCTCATTATGGAAACACCAAAAGAAGTTGACATCAATTTATCCGATCTTACCTGGGCTGATTTCATAAAAAATCGAGCTTCATACAACATTACTAGCTCGAACACCAATAAACGTATTGAGTTTCTCAACCATGCATTGTTGCCGCGTATAAAAGCTGGAGGTGAATTGATATAAATAATCGGATCTATTAATTAATTTAATTCAATTGGTTATATTATTAATTCAGATTTATGAATTTATTGCTAGGCCTTTCTCCAAATACAATTGGAGGCTTGCTTCACCTTGTGCTATTAACATATCCACGATATAGTGACCGAAAATCTAGGCTCACCATAATAAATGTATTAAAAGAATTGTACAATTGGAATTCAAGCTTATTCCTAAAATATTTTGTTCCGTCGCTGGTCAAAGAAACCGAGCTGCTGGATAAAAAGAGTCCAGATGGGTACGTTAAATGACATTATTAGAATTACAATTAATTAGATCGAATTTTTCTAATGTAAATCTCGTGTACTGTAAACACGAAACGTATTTTGATTTAGCAAATACTCGACTTCTTCAGCTAATCGATTTGTCCTTCTTACGTGGGTCAACTCTCTGATTAACTTTATGTCTGCGGACAACACGCCTGAATCGTCAACATTATTTGAACACTGGACGAGCTTGATAGACTCGCAAGCTGTTTTGCTCGATTCACTTGTCAACGAAAAAGGAATTCGAAAAAGTATAGCGCATAGCGCTTTAGTAGATATCAGGCGATGTGTCAGAAAGGTGTGCATATTATTTATTAAAAGAATGATTATTATCGTTATTTTATATTAATAAAACCAAAAAATAATTTAACAAAAAATATACGTAGAATTCCACAAAAATTCCATCAATAATATCACACTTGACACAAACTTCAAAGACGAACAATCCTCCGCTTCGTAATACCGTTCTTTTGGGGACTGTTATTGATAGTGCGTTGCGGCTTAAAAAAGAAAACGGCAAAGCTTTTATCTTGAACGCAAAGGTTTGCTTGTCTATTTAGGAACCGATCGAATAATAGGTCATCATATAGACAATTTGCTGGAATACTAGAGATTGATTATGAGATTTGCAGATCTTTCATTTGGCATCTCTCTTGAGAAAATATCAATTGATAGTGTTCAGGGTAAATCAATAATCATGACAACAAATTAAATACTCACATGGACAATTTGCATTTTTTATTCGGATTAAAAGGACGATGTTATACAGTTTTACTTGACTCAAATAGTATCATCTAAGACTCCTGTACCTGAAAAGACTGCGGTAATTAAGCTTTTGATTATTATTTTTTTTTGCGACAAATTCTCGTCACCAAATCATTTGTTGGATATTTATGTTATATATATATTATAGGATGCCTTTCATGATTTTATTAGAACGATCATCACCGAACAACATTTTATAACGAAGTTTCTTCCTGTTTTCGAGAAAATGCTTTTGAGAGCACCAGAAATTGTCTTGGATGGTTAATAATTTATATTTAATTATTGCTCACAATCTTTCTATTTTGATTCCGTAATTTACTTAACGAATGATATGTTTCTTGTCTGTTTCCTTTCATATCACTACAGTATTAAATTATAATTTCAAAGCGCTGTTATTCGATACATCAACTATTTTCAAAAACCATTTTCTGGAACCATTACTGGGTTATGTGGGATCAACAAATAAATCAGTTCAGACTGGTGCTCTTGATGTACTGAATATTTTGCTAGAGAAAAGTCAAAACCCTGATGTTGTCGTCGACATAGTCAAAGAAATCATCAAAACGTTAAGCGGAGGTGAGTGGGTGTGATTATTTAACGATGATTACGTTACTGAAAATGATAATGATATTTTATTAAATTAATGATAAATAGGAAAAGTTTCAAACCCAGAACATCGTGGGTTTCTAATCCAGACACTGGTTCGCGTTCATCAATCTCCAATTATTGCAAAAACTGTGATCGAGGGACTTTTGCCAATCATAGCTAAAGAAATGAATGAACAATCTCTCTCACGAGCTATTGTCACATTAAAAATACATGTTAGCTTATTGCTTCGAATCGGAACCGACAATGACACTATAAACAAGATTACACAGGCGACCATCAAGGGTTTGGCGAGTAACAAAGTTACAGTAAGAAAAGCTTGGGCTGTCGAGATTGGAAGTGTTATATGGGAAGATAATAGCACCGTCAATGAACCATCTAGTGCGTTTCTGGATATCACCAAAAAATCACTTTCGCCTCTGTTGACGACACTGGATAATATTCAAGCTAATCCATCGAATTTTCCTGGAGGGCCTCTTGAAGGATATATTGCAGTGTCTATTGCGGAAGGCAAAGCAAGGAGGTGGAAAAATGAAGAAATTGGTAAAATAATACTATTTTTGACTCTTTATTTATACTTTGAAAAAATTGAATCGAGTTGAGTTGATGCTTAATTTCACATATTCTTTTAGATAGCTTGATCCGTGCAAAGAAATTACCGCAATCTATATTTACGGTTGCTCCCAAACCATCGTTTTGGCTTTGGGATAAGGTGTACTCGAAATTATCTAGCCACGAAGAAGGATTGTGGTTTGTTCGATCTCTGGAAGGTGTCCTTTTAGGAGAAGATGACGGAGTGTTTGAAAAGAAGGAAGCCCGGTAAGTGATGCTTTTATAATTTATAGCATTTAGTTGTGACGACTCAATCTTCAAGATTTAATTTCGGATATTATGTAATTTTTAATAGAAATGTTTTTGCAACAGCATACATTTACTTGATTTCCTCAACGAATGAATATCAAACACGTCGTGCCAGCTTTGAAAGCCTTACTAGATGTAATCAAATAAAACCCAGACGTGTAAATAATATAATGAGAGAGGGATTAACCCGATGGTTATTAAATGTATGTATGCATGGTATTAACTTGTTTTTACTATTATTTACAAAAGATCTATGTATATTTATAAGCTCTATCTTTTTTAATATAGCTTGAAAAAAATACCAAAGATTCTACTGCAGTATTAGCCGCAAATGCCATCCAACCAGATGAAAATCCGAACACTGCTTATCGTTTGTCTAGAATTCTCACTGCGATCACGACGTTTTCAAAGAGTACCGAGATTAATATTATCGAAATCTCTTTAATTGAAATTGTGCTGTTGGCTCATCATCATTTTATTGGTTAGATTTTGCTATTCACCTTCGGTTAGCTTGAAATATGATACTAATCCAATAAACATCTATCTATATAATAGTATCACCTACTGATAAATATAATTGGATCAGTTTAGTTCAAAGGGCGGGTCTCGATCCTGGAAAACTTGTAAAAGCATATCACAACCGATTAAAAGCAATAATTACGGAAACAATCGATCCTGAGAATGAAGTAAATATTATGACATAATGTACTATTTGAGATCATTATGAATAGATTACAAGCTGATTTTCTTTATATTTTGTTCAGTCAAAATATTTTTATCAGGCTGCCATGTCAGTGATTTCCACACTTTCCTTCGTATCTCCTGACACATTCATTCCTTTGTTCCTCGCTCAATGTCATAGTGATTTGAATTCTTTGCATATGACAAATATCGGAGAACGAGAAATTAAAATATGGAAAACTCCAGAAGGGACTCTCTTTGTTGACGGTTAGTCAATATTGTTATCACAAAATTTTATATCCTCTAATCTCATGAAAATTCTTGTTAGTATTGAAACGTAATAAGCAAAACGTGGTGGAGAATCGCAATCGAAAGGGTTATCAAACTGAAAAATGGGAACGTGAAGTTCGCGAAGAAATTGCCAAGAAAAAAGGCGCAACAAATGCACCGAGACTATCCAAGGATGAACAAGCTGCTGTTAATGCACAGATGGCAAAGGAATCAAAAATACGAAAACAAGTACAAGAGGTTTACTTCAGATATATTCGAGGACTGGATATCATTAATGCCATGATAAAAGGAAACGCCGAGAAATTAGAAAATTATGTTGCCGAATTGATGCGATTGTTGACTTTTGTTGTAACAAATGGTGGTGTTTTGGTGGGAGATAAGGCATCCGAAACTTATTTACAGCTTGGTCTTTGCACCACGGAAAATATTTCCTCGATTCGAGTGCCGATTGGAATAGCAACTCTGCGAGCTATGGAGATTAGTGAAATTCCAGAACATTGGCTCGAAGAACCATTAGGATATCTTGTTACTCGAGTGCTTTATGGTCTTCGAATTGTGACTGAGCGTAATCCATTACCGCCAGCTTCGTTCTCTTATTGCTTCCATCTTATTTATCAAGTCATTCATAAAGGTGGATTCTTATACTTAGATAATCCTGAAGAAGGCACAGATTTATCATTGGAACAAGTTGCGTTCAGTTTAGATATTATTTCATTCCACTCGGTTATTGGTAATTCACCATTAATTCCACGTAGTGAGATGATTGAATGCTTAATGCACATAATAAAAGAATATCCTAAACTGACAAAACTTGCTAAGTCCGCTTTAGTAGACTTATGTCAATCAATGAGCGATACTGCAAAAAAACGTGAAATTGATACTTTATTGGCTGGATTACTTTATCCGCAATCTTTGGTTCGTAATGCATGTTTACAGGGACTTGAATTTTTGGATTTAACAGATCTCGATTTCTCTCGGGAGTTATGGATCGCTTGTTTTGACGAAGACGAAAACAATGCTAAATTCGCGATCGCTCTTTGGGAAGATAATGGAATGGATGTCGAACCAAATTATGCTGTTGAATTACTACCCCTGCTGATACATAACGAGAGCTTTGTACGAGTAGCCACCTCAAAAGCAATTGGCAGTGCTGTAAAATATTTTCCCGCTACT